AAAAAAAAAAATTCCTTAGGAAAGTCAGATGATAATAGAAAGGGGGTCAGAGATGCACATCCCAGTATACATTGTCAATATAAGAGTCCAGATATCCATGGGGAATATTTATTTTTGCTTCGTAGTGATTGTGTCTATGTCCTAGGAAGACTTTCTGGTAGATGGTTTAATCTCTGTGCTGAAGAAAGAAAATTGTGCTATAAAAAGACTTTGAATAATTATCTTATGATTAATAATAAATGTTAATATTTAAGAAATTTTATTACCATCTATRAAGTATTTGAAAATCTTTTACTTGTTTGTTTTTGCCTTAATCACACAGGTATTTACAAGCAGATATAGAAGCCTTTGACATTAGAGAACTGACACCCAAGTTTGATGTGATTCTCCTGGAGCCGCCTTTGGAAGAGTATTACAGAGAGACTGGCATCACCGCCAATGAGAGATGCTGGACATGGGATGATGTACGGTGACAGTGTTCATGTTTTGCTGGGTTTTCTGTTTTTCAAATGAATACACATTTATGTGATAGAAAGTAAGACCACATATGCCATCTCTACTTTTGTAGAGATTATAAATACAGGTTTAAAGTATGTATTATGAAGGAGTGTCCAAGGTGCGCTGACAGGTAGTACATAAATTTAATTTGATTCTTCTTTTTGAGGCAAAAATTGGGCAATTAGTGAGTATAAACTGTAGAAGACTCATTCTTGGTTTTAGGGTACTTGGATATATAGCTAGGAAAGCATAAAAGTATAGAATGATTGCTAACTCACTCTACAGGTGGTAAAAGAAGTTAAATAAGCTGTTAACCTGAATCAGTTACACAAGTGTCTTGTTTTACAACCAGTAATGAAAGCCCCACACACCAAGAACGTTGCTAGTAGGTAATGCTTGGAGACAGAGACGAATAGGACTTGGTATTCTGCCTTAAAGTTTAACAGGGTGAATATTGCTCAAAACCAGTGAATGCCTTGCAGTTTCATTGGCTCAGTAATGGAGGACTGCATGAGATGACCTGAGAATAAGGCCCAGCCTAGCAATGTGGGGCATGTGAACTCTGAGAAGATGACAGCAGAACAGTTGAGTTAGCCAGGCAAGGAAGATATTGGACAGGCTTCCACAGAAGGAACTGTAAGAACAAGAGGAATAGAGGCCACCGACTGGCTTGTGGGGTGGAGCAGTCTTCCTGTGTGTTACTCCTGTTGGACACAGATTGATCTGTTCTAGGAGCTTGACTTTCATTCTGAAAACATTACAAAGTATTTGAAGGTTTTAACCAGTTTAAGAAAGAACAGTGGATTACTGTGTAGAGGTTGAGCTAGAGGCAAGGAAGTAATGGGGAGGACAGTTAGAAGTCTCTTGGAGTAACCTAGTCCTGAGATGATGGGACCTTAAATTAGGGTGATAATAAAAAGGTGATACATTTAGTAAAGTTCATTAGATACATTTGGTTAAGTGTGTGGGATGAGGGGGTAAGTGAATTTAAGAATAGGAGCAGAATTAGATGGACTTGATAACGTTRAACATGTTGACTTCAGGTATATGCGGGACATTCAAGTGGAAGAGTATGAAACTTAAAGAACAGATTAATCTGTTTTCAGAAKACAGATGTTGGAGGATAAGCACATTAATCTCATGTAAACAGATGAGTTTATTCTAGGATAATGTCACAGATAACATAAAAGTGGACTAACAGTGAAGTCTAGGGAAACACTTATATTTAAGGGGCACATATAAAAGAAATATAAAAAAGAGATAAGTGAGGAGAACCAGGAGAAAGGGAATGCCCTAGGAACCAAGCAGCAGCAGATTTCAGGAAGAGTTAGAAGAGTTAGAAAGTCTTGTGCAGAAGGTGCAGGGTCAGGAAGGGCTGCAGTCATAGCCTGGTGTCTTGTAGAAAGGTGCTTGGGTTTTTGCATATTTTTTTCTCATTTAATGGTTGTTGTTGTTCTAAATAACACGTTCTTCCTCCTTGAAGTTTTTCCTCTTTAATACACTTAGCACTTTTATTTACATTTTGGTGGCTCTTAACCACTTTAAAAATGTTTTTTAATTTGTGCTCATTGTTGAAAAATCAGAAAAGTGTATAGAATGTAGTATTACCCAGACAAAAAGATTTAGTAACTGAGAAGTTTTCCATATTGGTTTTACACATTCACATTCCTAGAGGTGTTTAACCATCTCAAGTTCATCATGTTCTCATCAAAACTGAGTAGTAATAAGAAAACACCTTTGTCAGTTTAGTCAAAAGAAAAGAAAATGTAAGCGTTGAGTTTTATCACATTTAGGATTCACACTGGGTTGAACTCTGTGTTCTCTGGCCAGTCTGTGAGGTTTGGTTTTAAAGGCACAGAGCTTCAGTTACACATAACAGACTCAGCTATTGTGTATGCAAAGTCTTGATTGGAGTTTAATTTCACTGAATTTCAGCTCTGGCTGGTGTATTGAAAAGTTCTGCCTGGCCCCCAGATTGCTAAGCTCTTAAGTTTTATGTGGCATTATTCTGAAGAAAGTGYCAGGGGTTACTATAGAAGGCAGAATGTGAATGAGAAAATTGTTGGTTTTCACAAGTATTCATTTTCATGTTAGACAGCCAGTAGTGGTCGCTGGGTTTTAACTGGGGGATATAAGCACTTATTTAAAATACCCACAGGTAGCTTTAGAGAATAATTAATTTACTAACTGTTCTTCTCTAGATATGTTTTCACCTATCTATAGCTATATCACTTAAAGATATGTAGGAATATATGTGTATATGTACTATGTGTATTTATTCATATTCTTATATTTGATAAAAGGTTATTCTATCATGAGCATATTGGATGAGGAGAGATTTCAAGACTTAAAAAAATCAGTGTAAAAAGTGTAAAAAATTGGTCTATACATGTGCTATTTTCATTATTACTGTAAAAAAATGTCTTTGATTTAAGAGATGGAATGGTTTTAACATTGATTTGATTGAGGTAGAAGTTAAGATTTTCTTAATAAATAAAACTGATAAATTCTTGCATGAACCATGGTCTCAGAAATTTTTTAACTTTAGAAAAAACCAAAAGGAAAAGAATGTCATATAAATTTGTTGCTTGCATAGTCACTACTCACAATGTAGAGATTTAATTATTGAAGGACTTTTTTTTTTTTTTTAATGTACTGTGGCACAACACATTCAAGGTAAACGATAATGGAATTGGGGAGAGCATTTTAGACTTAAAGTAATCATAAGAAAACACTGCATATTGATTTATTGAGAAATATTMTTCTTCTTCTTTTTTTTTTTTTTAAGTTGGTACTAGGGATTGAACTCAGGGACACTTGACCACTAAGCCACACCCCCAGCCTTATTTTCTATTTTATTAGAGACGGAGTCTCACYGAGTTGCTTAGTGCCACGCTTTAGCTGAGGTTGGCTTTGAACTTGCAATTCTCCTGTCCCAGCCTCCCGAGCCATTGGGATTGCAGGGAGAAGTACTCTTATGGATACCAAAATCATAGTACATTCCAAACATTTGTTATTACATTTCATTTTAATTTTGTCCCTAATTCTGGGCTCATTTAACCTCATTCCATTTCATTTTCTTTTTTCTAGTATAATGTTGCTTATGTACCTCTCAACTTCTGTCATATGCCATAATTCTGAAAATGCAATTTCCTGTTTGTTCTTTCCATATAAAAATAAGTGTGTGTGTGTGTGTGTGTGTGTGTATTATGTATATATATGTGTGTGCGTGTGCTCGCAGGTGCGCGTGTTGACATATGGGTGTGTGTTGCTTGTATATAAACGAACAAAAAACAGGAGAACAAGTGATTTTTTTTTTTTTTAGCATAAAATTGATTTTCCATCAATTTTATTTCCTAATGGGTACATTTAAAGAACATATCTACTGAGAATTCTGGTACAGGAACAATTGATGGTCATTAGTTTCAATGTGGGATGAATAGGAAACAAAATATTTGTACATATTTTGTGTATAATATTTCACATATGTTTGGTTTCTTACAGATCATGAAGTTAGAAATTGATGAGATTGCAGCACCCCGGTCATTTATATTTCTCTGGTGTGGTTCTGGGGAGGGATTGGACCTTGGAAGAGTGGTGAGATGCTGTTTTTATAAAATATAAAACAATATATTAGGGGTGGGGTTGTAGCTCAGTGGTAGAGTGCTTGTCTAGCACATGTGATGCACTGGGTTTAATCCTCAGCACTACATAAAAATAAACAAAAGTTTTGTGTATCTACAACTAAAAAAATTTTTTTTTAAATATAATGTGTAATACATTTGAAGATTAATGTTGTTTTGTTCTTTGTTTCTTGAATAGTTTTAAATATGCTAAAGAAAAATACAATACCCCTGACTCAGCTAAGGCTTACTGGGGAGAATGCAACTCTTTCAAAAATGTTCGTCACAGCTGTAAGAACACAATATTTTAGAGATTTGAAGCTCCAAACTATAGTACAAAAATGAGCTTGGTGTCATTTATGGTTCCTTATAATCAGCTAAAAAGTGTTGCTCTGAATAGCATGGACTCCTGAATTGTAAATGACAGCCAAACTGGAATAATAACTGCATTTGAAACAATTTGAATGAATAAGAGTGAGAAAGTAATTATAGCACTTTTAATGTATTTTCAGTTATATCAGAGCTTCTCTGTGTCAATAGAAACACAATAATAAACTGTTCAAGAAGAATAGCACGAGCATTGCAGCTGGGATCAGGAATCRGCTCAACTGTTCCCCAGCACAAAGGCACTTGGTCTTGTGGGTCTTGGGTGTAGACACATGTTATGGGATTAGACTTCCCACTCTGAGGACACACTTCCTGTCATGCAGCAGACATCTCATTCAGCCATGCTGATTTGGGGAGGTGGCTGACGAGTTTAAGCATGATTATGTGAGATTACAAGTAAGAGTATACTGAGATAAATCTGTGCTCCAACACTGAAGCTCTGTGGTCACTCTGTGTTTTTTTTTAGAAGTAGTGAGCTGAGGCTGGTGGGCAGCATTGCTGCTTCCATTATTTGCTGGTTCCAAGGCTAGACCATGATTGTATTCCAGCTGGGTCTGTGCATTTATTTAGTAGTAGTTCCCCAAGGTGCTGTGGAAAAACAAGAAAGCAGAGAGAAAGGAACACTGTTTGCTTTTATAGGCCTAGTGATATTTACCTTTTCTGGTTCTAATGTCTGACTTTGGTCTTTCTTCCTCACCCTCAAATTCAGTTGATGTGTTTTTATTTTATTTTTTAAAGTTTTCCCCTCCAGTTTTGGAGATTTATCCCAGGGTCTCTGCTTGCTAGGCAAGTGCTCTACCACTGAGCCACATCCCCAGCCCCAAATTAAGTTGAAAAATGACTAGAAGGGTTTGTTTTTTTTTTCATTTATGGAGCAGAGCATCTCATTGGTGAAAGCACAGTTTGGCCAAAATGATTACAATACAATAACTTTCGGTAAATTAGTGGATTAGGTCATTTGGGATTTAGGCCGTGGTAGTATTATGAACATCCAGTGCAGAACAAATTTTTGTCAGTACTGGGGATTCAACCCAGAGGTGCTSTACCACTGAGCCACATCCCTAGCCTTTTTTATTTTGAGATAGGGTCTTGCCTTGCTGAGGCTGATCTTGAACTTGCATCTTCCTGCTTCAGTCTCACAAGTTGCWGGGATCATAGATGTGCACCACTGTGCCCAGCAAAAACCAAATACTTGCAACAGAAACAAATAACCCCAACCTTCACCCCTGTAGTTTTGGTTTCTATGGTCAGCAAACATTAGATAGAAAATTCCAGAATTTATAAGTTTTCAGTTATGCATGTGTTATGTATGCCACCTGCTTGTTCCTCTCTTAGGGACCATCTGGGTTTTCAGGGTGATTTGCATGCAACATGAAGGGGAAAGACAGACTACATCACATACCTTTTTATTTACATATATTGTTGTAATTTTTCTCTTAATAGTTATTGTTTTTGTAGCTTGGGAGGCTAAGGCAGGAAGATCATGAGTTCGAAGCCAGCCTCTGCCAAAGTGAGGCACTAAGCAACTTAGTGAGACCTTGTCTCTAAATAAAATTCAAAATAGGTATGTGGGTCAGTGGTTGAGTGCCCCTGAGTTCAATCCCTGGTACCCCCCCCCCAACCAAAAAAAAAAAAAGTTAATCTCTTACTATGCCTGATTTAAAATTAGTAGGGTTCGGTACTCTCTAGTCTCAGGCACCCACCAGGGGTCTTAGAACATTTCCCTGTGGATAAGAGGGACTCTTATATTGACCTTGATCTTTTGAGATTTTAAAGATTTAAGAAATCTCAGTTTGAGGTCTTCCTCACTTTAGAACATTACAGGAAGCACATGTTTTGTATTTTGCTGCATCTTTGTACTAGATCACAGCACCAGCAGCGCTATGTTGCTTGGTCCATTGTCCCCCTCTTGACTCTGTGGCAACTGTGCCCTGTGCATGTTTCAGTTCCAGCCTGCACCTGCTTGTCATGGATTCCCCACTGTTGCTGCATGCTCATGGGACTGAGCTTCATACCTCTAGTTTCTGAATTGCATGAAGACAGAATAAGGTTTTACCCAATGAAGACAGATGCACAACAGCTTTAGTCTGAACTTTTTGTATGTAGAAATGAGGTTTTATTAGATTCTCATTTGACAGAAGTTAACAGTTTGAATCAGTTTGAAAAGTTTTAACAGTGTTTACATTTGTCAGAAGATAGAAAATGGAGGTGGCAGAAATCAAATTCTCTTTTGAATTATTTTGTGAYTATGTAGGGTCTCTGTTTCCTTTTAGTTAAAACACCTATTGCTGACAATGAAAGGTAATACAGATACTATAGCTAGAATGCTTGGGGTTAGAGTGTTTCTGATTTTTGAGGTTTTGAAATTTTGGACTATTTGCAGACTTAGCAGGTTGAGCATCCTTTATCCGAAAATCAAAATCCAAATGCTGTGAAATCTGAAACCATTTGAGCTGTTGGTACTCAGAAAGTTTTGAATTTTAAAGCATTTCAGGTGTCAGATTTTCTGACTGGGAATGCTCACTCTGACTAAACCTTTGGGGCAGAATGCAGTGCTTCAGTGCATGGTGTTTAATAGTGTGTTTTGCATTAGTACAACTCTATTATGGCTCTGGTTTTGAGACTGGTGCTTTGATACTGGCATTTCTTTCTTCTGTCTGCACTAAGGCAATTACCATGACCTCTGGAACTTAGTGAGCTCTTTAGTGTTGGTTGTTCATTTTGAGTATTGTTTATTTAAGTTCAGGATTTCTGTCTTTAATTCTTATATTTCTAGTGTTTACGCAAGTGGGGTTACAGAAGATGTGAAGATATTTGTTGGATTAAAACCAACAAAAACAATCCTGGAAAGACAAAGACTTTAGATCCCAAGGCTGTTTTCCAGAGAACAAAGGTATGGCTTCTACTGTTTTGTTTTCTTTACTCTCATATTTTTCTCTCAAGCATTTCCAAATCAGTATCTACTGTTCAGTTAATCTGGTGGAAATGTCCCTTTCCTGGGCTCTTCAGCTGTGATGAGTTCTGGGGGTTAAGTGTTATGAGGGATGGTGTAGAAGACACTCTGTGTTTCCTGTCACCCGGACAGACACCCACAACTGTATCCCAAAGACTCAGAAACAAAGATTGTTTTGGAATTGAGGAAAGCTATGAGATATGACTTGGTATAAAGTGTACTATTGTGCTCTCACTGTGCAGGAACACTGCCTCATGGGGATCAAAGGAACCGTGAAGCGAAGCACAGACGGGGACTTCATTCATGCTAATGTCGACATTGACTTGATTATTACAGAAGAACCTGAGATTGGAAATATAGAAAAACCTGTGGAAATTTTTCATATAATTGAACATTTTTGTCTTGGTAGAAGACGTCTTCATCTGTTTGGAAGAGATAGTACAATTCGACCAGGTAGGACCTCAGTAAAAAAAAAGACTGTGTGATTCCTTGGGATATGTATTTTAAAAAAGAGAGTAAGGTAGTAAGATGAAGTTTTTACGTGTTTGTTTCCTTTTGGTGTACTTCAGATATGAGCAGTTTTAGGTTTGCAGCCAACTTAGAGGGAGGTGGAGAGATTTCCCGTCTCATCCCTGCTCTGCAGGTGCCTCACCTCCCTTCTTCAGGGCTCCCCACTGGTGCGGGACACTTGTTATATAATCAGCCAGCAACATTTTCTCTACCACTCAGTGCCGGGTGCAGTGGTTTCACCCCCCTAAAGTCTTCTTCAGTTATTTTTTTGATATATATATTTTTAAAGAGAGAGAGAGAGAGAATTTTTTATTATTTTTTAGTTTTCTGCGGACACAACATCTTTGTTTGTATGTGGTGCTGAGGATCGAACCCGGGCCGCACGCATGCCAGGCGAGCGCCCTACCACTTGAGCCACATCCCCAGCCCTTTTTTGATATATTTTTAATTGTCACATAATAATTATGCACATCTACAGGGTACAGTGACATTTTAGTATGTGTGTGTATACAGTGTGTACTGATCAGATCAGGGTAATTGCAGATCTTTCACCTCGGGTGTATATTACTTCTTTGTGTTGGGAACGTGGAAAATCTCTCTACTTGCTGTTTTTAAGTATTCGGTTGTCAGCCATAGCTACTTTGCTGCGCCTTGTAGAACACTAGAGCTSCTCCTCCTCACTGTACTCTGTACCTGTTGGGCCCCTCTGCCCAGCCCATGCCTCTCCCAGGCCACACATAAGGGCCATTCTGTTCCCGGACTCCTCCTGTAGATAAGATCGTGCAGTGCTCATCTGGCTCATTGGTGTCTTGAGCTGCAYCCACATTGCTGCTGTGTGTTGGACCTGCCACACGGCTGTGGTGAACAGTGCTGCGGCAAGCATGCCTGGGCAGGTCACTCGACTTCCTGATTCCAGTGCCCTTGGGTCTCTCCTGTGGAGTGTTTCTAGTCTAGGAGGAACCCCGCACTGTTTCCATGGTTACTGTACTAACTTACCTTCCCACCAACAGTGTGTGGGCCCCTTAGTCTGCGTCCTCACCCGCATTTGTTATTTCTTGGTTTTTGGACAATAGACATTCTAACTGGGGTGAAATGACGTTTTGTTGTGGTTTTGATTTGCATTTTCTTGATGATTTTTGATGCTAAACATTTCTTCACAGCCTTGGCCATTTATTTATCCTCTTGGATTTCTAGGACCTATCCACTGGAAATATTTTGTGGATGTGAAGAGTAGAGCAAAAATTGCTTCTGAGATTTTAATCACAAAAAAAATGGTCCTGTTGGCATGAAGAGCAAAGTTATATGTAATTTATTAAATTTTCACTGATTCCAAACTCAGTGTAGTATGTAAGTGCCATCTCACATGGATGGGGAACAATGAGGAGGATAGGCATGTTGCAGAAGAAACAGGATTGACAGGTGTGAAGTCCTTAAAACGTGACCGTGATTAAGTGCTGTTTGTTCCGTAAGGGAGGCCGCTGTTGTGGGGCGAGTGAAGGGCTATCCTAAGGATGCACAGGGCCTTTAGCCCACCCCTGAAGGGTCAGCAAGGGAGTGCAGATTAATGGGTTGTCTGTCTTCCTCCTTTTCAGGCTGGCTCACAGTTGGACCAACACTGACAAACAGCAACTACAATGCAGAGACATACGCATCCTACTTCAGCGCCCCTAATTCCTACTTGACTGGCTGTACAGAGGAGATTGAGAGACTTCGACCCAAGTCACCTCCTCCCAAATCTAAGTCTGATCGGGGTGGTGGTGCTCCCAGAGGAGGAGGAAGAGGGGGAACTTCGGCTGGCCGTGGTCGAGAAAGAAATCGATCCAACTTCCGAGGAGAAAGGGGCAGCTTTCGGGGAGGTCGAGGAGGAGCGCACAGAGGTGGCTTTCCCCCTCGGTAATTTTTAGAGATGTCAGTCCTATTGCTGCCCCTCTAGCCTTTGGGTGGGAGACTTACTTTCAGGACTCAGTCCCGCTSGCCTTTGTTCTGGCCGCTCTGCCTGCCAGGAGCAACTTGCAAACTTCCTCACCRGTGTCCTTCCTGCGCCATTTTGTTCGGGGTGAGCAGTCTTCATGCATGCAATTGAGCAGGACGAACAACTCAGATAGCTTCGCTTTCAGGACTGAATTCACTCTGATTTCAAACAGTTCAGAGGCTTCTGCTTTCCAGAAGTGGGTGGACAGTGGGAAGATGCGGTCTGGAATCAGGCTGGAGCTGAAGGGAGTCCATGGCACATCCTTCCTTTGCAACCACAGCAAGTGAGGGACTGCTGCAGCCATGGTGGAGTGGGGCACTCGGAACCCATCTGTGGGGGTTCAGCATTTCCTTGTTGAAACGGTAAAAGAAGTGCATACTGCATTTTCTTCCTTTTAAAAAACATTTTAAATAAATTCAAATATAATTTGAGTACTGAAGAAAGTAAGAGACTTTGAACAAAATCCCCTCCTTCCAGGTCCGAATCTGAGAGGTGAGGTGGAGCTGCCAGGCAGGATAAGGAGGAGGTAGGACACAGCATGCAGACAAACATGGAAGCTCTTTCTCATGATCTTGGTCCTGTAGCTCCAGGTGACTTCTGCTCTGAAGGCACAAAGCAGGACAGAAATCCAATTTCAGGATGTGGCTGTGAGCTGGAACTCATATGRACCTTCAGAGCAGTTTCATATTCCAAAGCAAAGTAAAAGCAGCTGAGGCACCAGTAGAGATGCCCAGTCGCCAGGCGCTGGGCTTGAGCACCTAGGGGTAAGTACTTGGGGGGTGAGGGAATGAAAGCTTAGGCTTATTTTTCTAATGAAACTTGAAATCTTTGGCATTTGAGATTCTATTTTTCGTAAATGGGAATTACAGTTGTTACCAGATGAAACAGGATTGACTTAGAAGGGAACTCTTGTGGTCTCTACATTGTGGTGGCCACTCTGTTCTCATACAAAAGAGGAACTCACACACACCAAGACTGAGGTTGATGAGGACTGAATGATAGAAGTACACCCTAAAGCCTGGTGAGCTCAACTCGATCAGCCTGTTTTACTTTCCAGTGCATATTGGTAGCATTTGATTAGCCCCTTTCTTGACACAGGTGCTGTGTCTCCCAGTTGGTTAGTGTGTTTGTTGAAATGACATTATAAACTAACTGGAGGTAGAATCAAAGGTCAGCTTGACCTGGGAATGYAGGAGGGAAGTTCCAGGTGCCCCCTGGTGGGCCCTCAGAAGAGCTGGCTCAGGACTCTCCCTTGTTCCATACCTGGACCTCCGAGAGACAGTGCTGTGGCTGGTGGCCTAGGCCCTRTGAGATCTGTTTCATGATTAGTCTTGTGGAGGAGAGGAGTGGCTCCTTGGTAGGTTGAAAGTTGGGGCACAGTAGCCTGCCATCATTAGAGAAGAGCAAGGAGAGAGGAGGTGAAGGGAAAGGAATGCCAGACCTAGAATCGATCCCTTTGAAAGGTAGTCTGGCCTTCTGAACCAGGCTGGAAGGACTCCTTGGCCCAGCCGCCTTCTCCCTCRGGAGAGCTGGGCTTTGTCTTACAGTAGAGCGTTCACTCCGGGCTCCAGTGACCGTTCATGACTCTGTCCTTATCTGATTTTTGATCCTCTTTATATTTACATGTTCCACATTTTCAGTCTGGAAATAAACTTTTAGTTGCTTTTCTTATCAGGGAGTTGTGAGAAACAGCTCAGTGCAAGAGGTCAGGGTACAAGAAATGGGGTCATCATGGGGTCTGACTTGGTGCCTGTTGAGAGCCAGGGCACATAGTGGGGCAGGACTGCAACAGCACTGTTCTGAGTCTTGGTCAATAGCAGGGCCGCCTTTAGGAGCCCTTGGATCCCTGTGGAGAAATTAGACCGCATATTTCCTGTGCCAAAGTCCAGCAGGGTTGTGCCAAGGGGACCTGGAGTTACAGTGAGCATCCATGGCAGGGCTATTGTTATATGAGTGGTACCCATATCAACTACTAATTTATACCTTTCMATTGGTTACAGCAGTTGATTTTAAAAGCTGCTGATCTTAACCGCTAACGTGTATCTTTCAGTTAGCTATAGCAGCTTGTTCAAAAACCTAGCCAGGTGCAGTGGTGTACACTTGTCCTAGAAACTGAGGAGGCTGAGCCAGGAGGATCACAAGTTGGAGGCCAGACTGGGCTACTTAGTGAGATCCTGTCTCAAAAAGAACTGGGGGTGTAGCTCAGTAGTAGGATACCCCTAGGTTCAGTCCCTAGTACCCCAAAATTTTAAAAAATAAATACTGTGATCAAATTTACTAAAAGGAAGTACGAGAAACCATCACCTTTAAAGTCGCTATAGCATGTAGGTTAAAGACTTGGCCTTAGTCTGCAGAGCTCTGAAGTGCACTTGGGAGGGAGCGGAAGTCAGTCTGAGCTGTGCTCAGCCCCTTGGAGGACTCAYGTTGTGTGGTAGGCCGTAGCCGTCGCCTCTGGAAAGCAGATGTCTGCAGGCTGGTAGTTTGTGGAGGTTTAATGATCCAATCTGCTGTCATTTTATAGGCTTGTCCATTTCAAGGCAACTTCTGGGTTGTTAAAAGGCTCTGATATAATGCTGTTGCCCATAATTCAGGTGAAACTTAGAACCCTAAGAAGCTAAGCTTACAGTGGTAAATAGGGGCTGAAGAGAGCAGCTAACTTTACTACTGTGAGGCTGACTGAAAGCAAAGTATATGCATGGTTAAGAATACYGGGGTGGGCGTGCACTTGCCTGCACAGGGCTCAGGGTTCCGTTCCCAACACCACAGGGAAAGAAAACAATATTTCATTTATAATAACTCCAAATCAAACTTTGGAAAAAAGTAGATACTGATGCCAGACGTGAGCCAACCAGCTCCTCATATCTCAAGTCCCAGCCCTTCCCTGACTCAGTCGTGATGACACCAGGGTCTCAGGCCCGCTCCCACTTCTGCTGCTCTCACTTTTCCGTATTCAGTTTGCGGCGGCACCRCACCTGCCTGTCTGCCTTTCTTTGCCTTTGGCTGTGGGGAATGAGTCTGTGGCTTGCGTTACATGAAGACMACAGGCTCCTTTCTCAGCCTGTCCCTGTGCAAGTGGTGGCTGCTTAGTCAGTGGGCCCTCCCCATGGCCTGCTTCACCTTGGAGGGGTTGCCAGGGCCTTCMGCCTCCTGGGTCCTTTTCCATTCTGCTCATGCTTTCTTGCTGAATAGGGGGCCTGTTTTTCTAAAAGGGCTTTCCCTCTGTCTCAAGAACATTGTCTGGGAGGGTGAGGAAACAGTAATTTCCAATGAATTATTAGTTGTCAACCACCTTGAACAGAGTCAACTCCTGTGGACTGACTGAATYTTAAAACGTGACTCTTTCCTCAGGACATAAGTTTTTAGTTACTTTTCTGCCAAACACCACCTGTCAAGGAGAGTGATTAAACCACATCTATACCTCCTCCTTAGTAATAGCCTGAAGGGGAAAAAACCGTATTCCTCCTATAAGGGACAGGCACATGGACTGGGAGTGTAGAAGGGCTGGGGTGGTGCAGGTGGCGCCCAGAGTCTTGGGAAGCTGTGTGGTCAGCACTGAGGCCCAAGGAGAGGCAACTACTAGACAAAGGATGACCATTCACTTCCCAGCAGGGCTGGGAGTAGAGGTCTAGAAGAGCCCAGTGTGGGCCTGGGAGGCGCATGGTGCCTCCTCCTGGAGCTTCTAAGTCCAGTTTCAGATCCTTTTCCATGTTGGAAAAACTCAAGCTGGAATTGGACCTGGATTTCTTATTCTATTAATAGGACATGTTTCCATCTGGCAAAAGTGAAAAATTAGTGACAGATCTTTCTTATTTACTCTCAGCCAGTTGTCATTAGGTTAGATTTCTGGGACGTGAAGTTCACATAAGCCTTCTTGAGAAAGTGAACTCTTCCTAATGGTTCCTTGAYATCTGATCCGGAATTCTTGAGAGGTTCTTGTGGTTAACACTTAAGGCGTTGTGGCCCATGCTTCTCGTCCCTTAAACTGTTACTTACAGCTAGTAGCTCCATCAATTAAAATATTTGTGACACAGCAAATACAGTAGGAGCTAGATTAATCCCAGCCTTCCTCGCCCTCTGCTGATTAATAAAAGCCCTAGCAAGGAAGATACTAGCAGCAGCAAACATGCACATGGTCTGACAGACAGGAAGCCTAAGTCCTTTGCATTTACTGGCTCCAGTGATCTGACTTCCTAGGTTGCACGGCTCCCCCCTCCTCTGTGCTGCCTCCAGCTGGGGCAGGAGCACTGCTTCAGAACACCTCATACTTCAGATGTATTTACCCCATTTTTGGCAAGTGGCCACTCAGATTGTCCACATTTCCATTTTATGCTGGGGTTTTAATGCACTGAAGAAGCTTGAGATGGCTTTCGCTTTCTCCCACTGATAGGGTGACCAGCCTCCCCATCAACTCTGAGCAGCTGCTGTTCCCAGGGCATCTGGCAGGCAGGCGTGCATGTCCTGGACTCAGGTTGCAGAGCYTGCAGTGCTTCTTAAACCACTGAGTGCACCTGAAACACACCAGCTGCAGGCCTGGGGGCTCAGCCTGGCAGTGTCTTTGCTACTCTACTGGCCTCTGCAGCCTTTGCCAGCTGATGAACAGCCCTGCTGAGCCTGACACTACCTTGGCTGCCTACGGCCTGCTCCAAGTGTGAGTGGGCTGATAACAGGGTGGTCTGCCACAGGAATGTTCATGGGCACTGCAGCTCTTGGAACACGACGTGTGTTCCGCTCTCCACCAGCCTTATACCTGTTCCTGGTTGGGACGGATGCTCAAGGCCCCTCTCGGCCACTCCTGGCATGACGTTTCATCAGCGTGGGTCAGCTTYCTGGGGGATCAACTTCTGCTTACTGTACCCACAGGACACAGTCAAGGACCTTCAAAAGTGCCTTTTTAAGTATGCTGTCTGACATTTCCTAGGTTTATTGCCTAACAATCCTCAACCCTGATAAAAAGACAATTTTGCTACTTGGTTTGCTTAGTGCTTCATCTGTTTGTTTGTTTTTTTTTAATCTCCAAATACATAAAAGTGATTCTACACATTAAATTTTTATATGAAGTGATTTATTGATATGGTAAAGATCCATTATATACAGGTAGAAACTGCCAAAATTGTACAAAGAACCATTAAGAATATTAATACAGTTTTAAGACAAAACAACTGGAAAATAGGTTAAACATAGATAGTATGTAATTATGAAAAAAAGTAGAGCATACATTGTTCTACTAGATAGAATCCACATTATTAAAATCTGCTAATCTCAATTGAAAAGTGTGTTCAATGGAGCTATGTGGTTTTAAAAAATTAGGTATAATGTAAAAATTAAGTTTTTCCCCTCACTGGAAATAGGAGAGGAACCAATACAATCTTTTACCCCAAATCTATACAGTTTGAAAAATAATTTATATATCTATAGCACAAAGGAAATTGAGAATGTTATGTTCTGTAAACTCTGCTCTTCATCAAATGCAAACTCCATCAGTTTTAAAAATTAAAAACTGCAGTCAGAAATAGGCTCTTCCCTTCATGACACGAGGGCACCTTCTCAGATCCCCCATTGCGTCCCTGCAGGGTGGCGGGCATCAGAGTGAGCCTGCTGCTTTCTAGAAAAGTGGGCGCCCAGAGACCGCTTCCCCAGAAGTGCAGCACCCAGCACTGGCTAGCTGAGCAGCTGGCATATCTCCTTGTGAACACAGCAGAGGAAATCCACGTAGGAGGACCCTCCGTGCAGCCCCCGGTCCTCCACCAGGAGCTGTCGGAAAACCATCTCTGGCTGCTCCCGCTGCTTCACTATGGTGAGCTAGAAGAAAATAAGAGCAGCTGGTTAGGGGCCGTCCCAGGGCTCTGCCTGGCTACATGGGAGGCCAGGACATGGGCTTGAAATGGCAGTGATGAAATGGAGATTCCTCACAGGCCCAGGGCCCTTGGAGAGCCTTCCCATGGGGGTGAGCAGTGCTTGGCGTCAAGGCCTTTAAGCCCAGGTCTGAGGTGAAGCTGGCTAGCCTGTGAGAGGCCACAGCTTTAGGAGGCAGGGGCTCCTAGACGGAAACACAACCACGCCTTTGACTTGAAGCCAGTGTAACCCAATGAGGTGCAGAACAGAATGGGGCACCTGGCTGGTAGCAGATGTAACAGCAACGAGGTGAGGGAGACTGGAAGAGGACACAGGAGGCTGGGTGTGGGGCAGTGGAGGACAGAGGGGGTGTGAGAGGCACAAGAGGCTACTCCTGCTTGGCCCAGTGCTTCAAGGCTGTGCTGCCCACGACAGGCCACAGCCACAAGTGTGTCTGAGCCATGGAAGACAACAGAGGAAAATGTGGAGCACCTCTGCAGTGGTTCTCGTGACTCCCCCTCCCCGGAAATGAAATGGCTGTGCCTGCACAGAGGCCTCCAGGGTTCCCCTCTGGGAGAGCATGGAGCGCTGCGAGTGGGGCAGGAAAGAGTGCCTCGTGGCTGGGGCCCCAGCCGATCCACCCTGGCCTCATCTACTGTTGGAAAGAAGGGTTCTTCTGACCTGCTGCCTGGACCTGTGCCTGAGGCTGATAAGCTTTGAGCTGCCCCTGGCCTGTAGTGACCATCAATAGTACATCAACTGCCCTGCCTGCCCCACAGACGGCTCCCTGTGGATCTGGTTCCATTTTGTTGTTATCCTCCCATTCCAACTTGTTTCTCGGGTAAAGTCTTTTTTTGAGGGGCTGGGGGCAAGTACCAGGGATTGATCCCAGGGGCACCCAACTACTGAGCCACATCCCCAGCCCTATTTTGTATTTTATTTAGAGACAGGGWCTCACTGAGTTGCTTTGGCTGAGGTTGGCTTTGAACTTGTACTCTTCCTTCTTCAGCCTCCTAAACCACTGGGATTACAGGTGCGCCCCACTGTGCCCAGCTTCTTATTCAGGCTTGTTGTGTGTGTGTGTGTGTGTGTGTGTGTGTGTGTGTGTGTGTGTGTGGCTGAGGACTGAACCCAGGGTTTTGTGTACCAACTGAGCTATATCTCCAACCCTCACTTTTCACTCTCTGAAAGCATGTTTTCATTTCTTCTGAGTGATCGTCAAATGTCATGGAAAAGAGCAGTCCTGGGTGCGTGGCGTGACGTGAGCAGCTAGTTCTGGCCCTGTGTCATGGCTACTGGGTCGGTGTGGGAACGGCAGTGGCGCTGCGACTGCTGTGTGTACACGCCACACTGGTGCACAGCTTCACTGCTGCAGCTGGGCAGGCTGCCCTTGTGGAGACTTCCCGAGGCCCTGGCCACTTTCCTGGTGTGCTTTGCCCACCTGCTCCCCATGCCACTGTGACTGCCAGGCTGGGCAGCAGCAGTGTGGTCCAGTCTCGACAGTGCAACTTAAGACGGAGGGCGGAAATGGGACCTGTGGAGAGAGGGGCCTCAGGGCCAAGGTCTTAGAACTCACCGTCTATATGGAGACTAGTGGAGGAGCTGGTGTTAGTTGTCTTGGTGGGTATTTATTTTTGCTTTGGGTTCTCACAGGGTGGGAAATGCCTGGCCAAGGACTGAGGGGGCACAGAGCACCAGGATTGAACTTCCCCTGCTCCAGCCCAGAGGCTCTGCAAAGGTGAACTGCCCATTCTTGTGCGGGTCTCGGGAAGTGGTGGGTGGGCTCCTAAGGGCTCACCCCCACAACAAGGGGCAACACTGGATGTGTAGGAGGGACCCATTGTTTTTCCTTCCTTGTGAGTCTACTGGGGTACATGGTCTTAGGGAGTGGGACAGAATGTGGAAATGGTCACACGGGCCTCCCTAGCTTCTCATGTGCCCTCTCAGTAGAAGGCATGGCTCGCTCAAGTCGCCCAAATGTGACCACCTCAGCCACCTCCAGGTCCTGTCCTTAAAACAAACCACAGTAGGTGCGATGGGCCAGTGTTCACCCAGATGCACGCTGGAGGCAACAGGCTGTTCATTAGTTCAGTTTACCTCAGTTCCAACCCTTTATTTAAGAAAAAAAAAAAAATCAAATATCATGAATTTCTGAATGGTCCTCCTCTAATGACACCCAAGGAAAGATCACATCAGGCCTGGCAAGGGCACCTGTGGCCACCCTGCCTCGAGGGTCTTGTTCCCCAACTTGGAACTGTTGGGCATGTGTCTGACAAGCAGATGGATATGAAGATCATGTTATGAAATTATAGAACATGCACTTCCAGAAGTCTTTAAGGGAATGAATAAAAGCTTGAGGAAAGGAGAGAGCTGTCTCCTACCTTCATGGAATACGGCCTCTTCTGCTGGATAACACCCATGATCATCCGGAGCTGTTGAGAGTGTGGGCTTCCCACCTCAGGCAGCACAGTCTGCATTCAAGAAAACCAGGTTCAGTACAATTCATAATGCTTCCAGCAATAGGAGACTGTGAGAACATGAAAACCATGGTTTATTCACCTGAAAACTGAAAGTGTGGGAAAGAAATGACTGAAAGATTACTTGTTAGCAGGCAGACATTCTTGCCAATTAACCAATGTCTCTGTCTTTTCAGAATAAAAATCCTTCTCTGGAGTTGACACAGGCACATTCCTGGTGACACACGAGTGTGCTTTATTAAAGGACACCTGGGGCTGTGTCCCACAGGGTCAGTGTCTTCTCACGTGTGTATTTCAAGGCTGTATTGAGAGCAGAAGGTGTACCCTGTGCCTGCAGAGGGTTGCTGGGGAGTCTGCCTCAGAGCCACTGTTCCCACACTGCAGCCAGCCCCAAGCACTTGCTTCTCCAGGGTGTATGGCCTCTGAGGTCCCCAGAAGTCTGGCTGTAGATTAGGGGACAGTCCAGCTGCATCTGGCCTCCAGGAGGCATGGAATTCCTCGGTTCCCCCAATTAAGACTTCAAGCACTAAGGCTTCCTTCTCAGATGCCCAGGCCCCAGGGGTCAGCTGGAGGAAGCAGGAATCTCACTGCAGAGCCTCAAGGCCTGGGAGAAGCTTCTGCCTTCATGTCTTCATGCTCTGGTGCACCCTGCATGTGCCCTCAACCTCATGACGGGTCCTGCTACCCAAATTCTCCAAGTCTGCTTCCTGTGTATGTCTCAAGGTGCCCACTCCTCTAGAACAAAAGGGCCTGCCTTTGGTTTTCGTTTTGTTTCATTGCTTGAAGAAGGTGAAAAAGAGGTGTGTTGGTAGAAGCACAAACCCACCAACCTGCCATTCTGGTGGAGTGACTGGCTGTTTTGCAAATGTGTTCTTTTGGCTCTGAGCCAGTACATCATGATATGAGAATCTTCTTAAATTTTATAAACCTCCAGGAGGTCATTCTTGCCTACTGAATTTTAATTTTGTTTCATATTTTTTGAAAATTTCAATTCTAACCATTTCTTACTTGAAGCCACAGGCAGGCAGACTACTATTTATAAATGACCAATCTTTTGGTGAGACCTGGACACCCGCCATTTGAAGATACATTTGTGTGGATAGACAGGCTMTCTGCATTGACCACCTGCCTTGGTAGCTCTGGATTTTACTCCTGCCCCTTCATTCAAGATGCTCTAGATACCTAAACTATACATTCAGACCAGAAATTAGGTGTGACACCCAGAATTAAGCTATCCCACCCCCGTAAGCGAGGGTCTTGGGACCCCGTGCCACATAGTGGACAATCGAGCCACAGCAGCAGCGCCACAGTGTGAGCAGCTCACAGCAAGTCTAGACTCTCCAACAAACTGTGGCTGCCGGTTTTCCTAAGACACTTTCAAGATAGATATTTGAATTTGTTCCCACATCAAACCCACAATTACTTCTGTTATGATTGCTACAGAAGGGGAGAAATCTGTTTTTGTGAGAGTATTGCATTGCAGATCACTATCTGATTCAGAGTTGAGCACCTGTGACTATTCTGATCACAGTGCTCAGCTTAGGACCATGATGGAAGGGGGTCTAAGCTCAAGAGCTGCCCTGGGCCACCGCTGCCACACACCACCTGAGGAAACTCAGCCCSAACCTGCAGCTGCAGAACACTCAACTATGTAGAGGGTGAAACGAAACAGTGGGATTGGCACAGAGAATACTCTGGCAGTGCTGCAGGTTCTACCAAAGTCACCATGAGGGTTAACCTGTTATGCAGATACTTTCATATACACTAATTGCTGTTTTATCAAAGCATGAATTTCTCAACTTTATRCAAAACTACGTCTTGTTGTTTTCTTCTTTGTAACATAAAATTACATGCAACACTTATTTAAGAATTTAAATTTTGTATATTACTACAAAAACAGTGAAAGGCTACTTACCATATCTGTACTGACATGTGCAAAAGATGGCACATTAAAAATCCCTTGGATCAGCTCTGGTGGGCTGCTCACTCCCAGCCACAAGAACATGTTCAGACCATTGGCCAGAAGGAAGATCCCTCCTTCTGAGAGGCGGGACTCGGAGCAGCGGACTGCAGCAGGTAAGGCTGTGCTCTTGACATCCAAGGTGTGCTGCGTAGGAAAGAAAGGGTCAGAGATGCCCCCTCCTTCCTCCTGCTGGTGCTTCTCCCTCCCTCCCAGCGCGTATCTCCTGAGCGCCTGCTGTGTGCAGTTAGAGGCAGGGCATGAAGTAGGAACACATGCAGCATTGTGGCTACGGTGGTGAGAGCCAGGAAGCAGAGAACTGAGAAGGGGCTGGAAGCACCCAGGTGGAAGAGGTGCTGGAATTGGGGCGTGTATTCCAGGGGGCTTGGAGGCAGGCAGGCTTGAGTGGAGGCCTGAGAAGGTGGGAAAGTCAGCTGGGGGACAATGGGAGATGCTGCAGTGGACGGAAGAGCCTGGTGGAGTTTGAGGGTCAGCGAGATGAGGGCGAGAAGGGAGGGCCACAGAACACAAGGGTCAGTGGGCCAGGGAGCAGGACTCCTGGCTTCTCCTGAGACGGAGCATCCTGGCGTGCTGCTGCGGACACGAGCTGACCGTGTTCTGGCAGACCACCCTGCTTGCCTGCTGAAGACAGACCCGAGGACAGGCAGTGGGTGCAGCACAGACTGGTTAGTGGAGGAGGGAGGGCAGTCTGCTCTGGGTGGACATGGACAAGTGGGAGGCTCTAGAAAGCACCTGCACTGAAGCTGAGACGGGGCAGAGACGAGGCTCTGGATACTCGTGAAAAGGAGAGCTGGCCAACAGGAGCCTGAGGGCCTGGARGAGGGGGCACGAGGGAGGGAGGGTGTGGGGAGGCCAGAGGAGAGCAAATGGGAGGGGTGGGGAGGCAGCTGGGGGCAGGTGGGAGGGTGGGCTTTGAGGTCTGAGCACTTATCTCAGGAGAGGCCCAGCAGGTCATGGGGCAAATGCATCTGAAGGGCAGCTCAGAGGCCATTTGAGACAGGAATTTGAGACCATTGGTATATAAATGACATTTAAAACCACAAGACCAGATCATGCAGAGATGTCATTTATATAAAGAAGGTACGTGTTCAGTTCTTCGCCCCAGACCACTCTGGGGGAGCAGTATGAACCTCCAAGGCAGGGGAAGCACCAGCTGGCTGGAGAAGGGACACTGGAAAGTGATGTGTGTGTGTCAGGGGCTGGGACAGGCCATAAAGGAGGACAGGATCCTCAGCAATAAAGAAACAACAGACAGAAAGAGGAGGGTCTGAGCATGCCCATGGGATCTGGCCCAAGCTGGCTGCAGGTGGCCTTGCCAGAGCAGTTCTGAGGAGAGGTAGTGTTGTGTCCTATAGAGTCCTGCTTTCTGTGCCCTACGGACTGGTCCATCTAGCCTATCTGAAAATCCACCCTTTGCCACAGTTCACTTCTACTAGTCATAAAGATGGAAGCAACTCTTTAGTTTCCTGTTCCACCTGCCCCGAGCCTGAGGGCCCCTTCCCCAGGGCCATGCTTACACGCCCACTTTCCTCTCTCCTCCCCTCAGCCCAACCTGCAGTCTCAGGGAAAGACCTGTCACAGAGAGAGAGCGCTGTCCAGGCCTGAGCAAGAGCAAAGGTGGAGCAAAGGTGAAGCTCCCCATGGAGGTCCCTGGGGCAGGTGCTGCTCTTCAGTATGGGGCCCCTCAGGCTGTTATCCTGCCTGCACTTGAGCTAGGCCAGTCACAGCTGACCTCATCACATGTCCTGACTCCTGGACACTTACACTCTGACAACATCAGAGGAAGCATGTGCGCATGCGATCCCACACACACAATGAATGTGTGTGTGTGTGTGTGTGTGTGTGTGTGTGTGTAGCATCCCCCCTCACATGAATAACACGTGCACATGGGATCTAGCCATACAACAAACATGTGCAGGTGGTGTACATACGTGTGCACAGTGAACACACACGCACCATGTCCCATTCACACAATGAACACACATGCCATACAACTTCATACACACGATGTACACCTGCTCACATTATCCCGGAAACACAGTGGGCACATGTGCACCTGAGATTCCATGCGTGTGACAAGCAGCGTGTGTAGGTGGAATCCCCCTCACGTGCACCTGAGCTGTCTGATGCTGCAGCCCTTCCCCAGCTGGGGTTAGGACTTGTCACTGTGTGCCTCAGTGCCCCTGCTCAGGGAGGAGAGGAGAGCACCCCCAGCACACCTCCCGCCTTCAGGGAGGGCAGGGCTGCTCTGTGCCTCCAGCCGCCTGCCTCTGTCCCTGCACGTGTGTGGCTACCTTAAGGCCCCTCTGAAYGTGCTGCAGGCACTGCGGCCTCTGGTTTCTGCCTAGCAGAAGGCCTTGCCTCCGGAGCAGCTTACGATCGGCAGGAACTGTGGGTAGAAGARGAGCTGGGAGTCGGCCACYCCCATGGTCATGACCAGCTGCCTCTGGAAGGCCCGCTCATCCGTAGGGGTGTCTGGTCTGCTGAGCAGCACACAGCTTTTCAACAGGGAGTTCATGTACACTGGCAATATCTTCATGGAGTCTGGTAGAATGAGCTGAAAAAGAAAGATGCCTGTTTCCTACTGCGCCGGAGTATGTGCCAGCAAGACAGTGATTCCAGCCACATCCTAGGACAGCCCATGCGGTTCCGTCCCCTTCCCAGCTGTGCCTACGAGCCGCTGAGCTGGGTCTGCTCTTGGGAACCATCAGCAGGAGACAAGAAAAACCTGCAACACAAGGGCTCTTTGAAAAGAACACACCATGCTCATCAGAATCCAGACTGGAGAGAGAGTCTCCCTCAGGGCTCTGCTGAATTCCTTCACCTCGCAGGCCTCTCCTCAGGGTCCAGGAAGCAACTCACAGGAAAGAACTTCCCAACCAGCTTGGGCCAATGCATTTTGGAGATCTGCCTGCAGCTCCATTTCTGGCTTCCTTTTACAGAGACGGGGGTGGTGAAGGGCCAGGGTCCTCACAGGAGGCCACCCTGATTATCATCTCTTCTCTAGCAAGACATTTCCACTCGACAACACATGGAACCATTGACCCACGGTGTAGGAATCGGATCATGGTCACGTGGCAGAGCCGCATGCCTGGGCAGCATTTCTGAGCTGGTTATTAGTTAGGCATCTTATGTTCTTAGAAACACATACTATTTGGGAAAACAGTACAGTTTTAAGATGTTATCTTGAAATTTAACTAGTTGCTTCTAATTAACCAAGTTGTTTTAGGATAGTTCAGAGAATTGTTGTCCTAAATGATACACAGGGGTGAGCATGGCCAGCAAGGACCCTATTAGGACCAAAGCATTTGAGTAGAGGAGGTTGGATTATAGGGAGCAGAGGGAAGAAAACAGGAGGTTAACAAGAATGAAACTTGATGATGAAGAAAAAAGTGGAGTAAAGAGTGAAAGAAAGGGTAGGGTGCGGCCCAGCTTGAAAGCGCTTGCCTAGCRTGCGTGAGGCCCTGGGTTCCACCAGCACCACACACATAACAGGTAAAAGAAAATAAGAAGATGACTTAGTCAAGGTTTATGAGGGGAAGAAGAAAATGTAGCAACAGACTGTCACCATAAAATCTTCCTCTCCACAATGCCATCACCCCTGGAGAGAAAAGCTGCAGGTGAGAAAGGAGCAGAGTCTGGTTTGCTTGAGTTAGGGAAACTTTTCTTTGCATGTAGAAATGACAAAACAAGGATTAATTTGCAGTTAAGGTCATCTGATTTGCCTTTAGAAGTCCTTATACCCCAAATAACGTACGTGTTTAAGCTCAGAACAGTGAGCTGCTGGAGTTGATAAAGCACATGACCCTAACATTTTGTTTCAGTGCTGTGTCCAGCCAGGTCTTAGCCCAGCACCTCCCACAGCCTGGGRGCTCCCTCAACTCTGTCCCCAGCGCATTCTCCTGCCTCAGCCTCATCCCTACGTGGAGGCCAGGGTCACGTGGAGGACACGGCTCCTCCTCTCTGATTCCCTCACATGAATGGCAGGAGCACCTCCATCTTCATTGCAGTTTCTGCAGAGAACCCGAAGCTCGGCCCTTCTGCTTTCGGCTACTGTTCTAATATAGCTCTGTTCTAATGGTGTCTGACCTCTGTTTTCTGGACTCCATGACAGCATCTAAGTTACATCACTGTTTCCAGGGCCTCACTGGTCGAAGGGCCTGAAATGTGCTAGTGGAGAAATAAAAGTCCATTATGTGAACAGGAATGGCTCCGTCGACGTGCCGAGAGCGGGCACTGTGGTGTCTTTACGCACAACACACTGCCTAGGAGAAGGCCTGGCACGGGACGGCGCCTCGGCAGCAGACCAGGAAGGAGGAGGGCCTGGCTTCCTTTTCCCTAACAGATTTGGTTTTCTCAAGGTTCCCAATCATCCTGATGTGCAGAGGATGCTAACAGCATCCGTTCCAGCCACCGCATCCTGAAGGAGGGGCTCCCGAGACAGCGCAGCTCTGCCAGGACTCAGGGACAAGCGGCAGAGCCTTGCAAACGCTGGTTCTGGACTCTGCTTGCCTGACTACAGACGCTGAGGCCCACAGGGCCCCTGAGCTCGCTGCGCTCGGTCTGGGGCTGTGGCCTGCCACGGTGGTGCACTGCTCSACCACAGGACCACATGAGTAGACTGAGACGTCCTGGGACCATCAGTGCAGGAGAAGAAAGCATGCAGGCTGACGTCGTCAACGGCACAGAAAGGAGCTTCAGGGAGGGTCCAGTAGGCGTACCTAGAGGACGGACCGGGACCCAGAGCCTTCGGCATCACTGCGGCCGCTGCAGGCCCTGGGAAGGCACTTCAGGTTCCTCCTACTGACCACTTCTGAGGGAGGGAGGCAGGAGTCTCCCGTGGTCTCTCACCATCTGACCCTTTAACCAAGACTCTGTGTTCAGATAGTTAGGACATGGAGAAGGGAAGGACGTGAGCAGGAGCACCCGTGCAGAGCAGGCGAGCTTCACCTTCACCGCAGAGCCAGCAGGGCTTCTTAAAGGGCCCAGGAAGCAGGGACTTCCTGGGTGAGGGCTGAGACAAGGCTCTCAGAGCAGTCTCCCCATTGGTGACTTTCCACAAGGAGGTGGCACATTTATGAGAGGAGCCACGCCTCTGCTTATACAGTATGTTGTCAGCAGAGTCGTGCAGACACCTGCCCACTGACAGCTGGGAACACTGATCACACCACACTCTGCTGTTTACATGTACAGACCTGAGCTGAACGTGGACGCCTGTCTTTGGCTCAGGACCCATCGTGGCCCCCAAGACCATGCCCTGGGCCCCCTTGGCTGTGGGGCTCACTGCCCGCTCCGGGTGCGGCGTCACCGCCTCAGTCCACTTGCTGAAGGAACCCACTGCTCTCACTTTCAGCCTCCCCATGCCCACACTCACCTGGCTCGCTGCAGACGGGCTGGCGCAGTTCTTGCGGTAACACGCCAACATGTGTGCAGTCTGATTAACTAGGATTTCCCGGATGACTTTCAAAGGCTGGTGTAGAACTGCTTTAAAAGCTGTATGCAAAAGGCCATTAGGAAAACGGGCATCAAAGTTCTAGATACTGATCTCTTCAAATGATAGAGAAAGAACAAACTGCTCTGGTCCCCAGGTCTGAAGTGAGGATGGCAGTTTTCAGAAATGCTAGTCCCTGCTGACATCCCCTCCTGATTGGGTGGCATCTGGTCAGTGCAGAGCAGTGGGCTGCCTACAGCAAAAGGCCACTGTGGCCCCAGAATCATCTTCAGAATATTATAAACAGTTCTACACAGAGAAGAGAAGGGCTGGTTTGTCCTTTTCTGGTGTTCTGAATTCTTGCAGCTGGACAGCTATTTCTTCCATAACCTGGGGTAGAATGGCAGAGAGAAGCCACAGAAACCTTCCCTGGCCCGTGGAATTCAGTTACCAAGGTATGGACGACAGGCCAGCCACTCCTGGCAGCCTCCTTCCACCCTGCCGTGTGCCACTGGGCTTACTGTGGCCACAGTAGGGCCTAGCCTCTGCTTCTTGCCTTCAGCCCAGACCCGCCCACTGGAAGCAAGCTCTGGACACTGTGAGTCTCTGCCTATCACCTGCTGCTGCAGATGCACACGGCTTCCTCTGTGCTCTGCCTTCACTCCATTCTGGTTATGTGCGGCCATGGCTGCACCCCCACCCAATCTCGGCTACCATCACAACTAGCCTAGGGGTCTGGACGGAACACCAAGAGCACTCACACAGAGCTCGCAAAGCTGTACCTGACTTGGCAAAGAAGTTGATGAGGGCATCCGTCTCACAGCTCTTGTAAAGATCTGCTAGCTGGGAGCTGCAGTTTAAGCCGAGGTTGTGAATCCGAAGTCTCCGCTGACCCCCGATGGTGGTGTAAAGCACAGCACACTGTGGAAGAAGCAGGGTGAGGCCCAGGTTTTGGTGACCTCCAGCCAGCCTGGCTGCCTCTAGTTTGCATTTGCCAAGCAGTGTGTGTGGAAGGGACCCCTGGATGCCCCACACTCCCACAGCAGCTGTGCACTGCCCGTCCTCTGGTTTCCAGCAGCACTCCACTGGTAGGCACTGCCCGGTGGGTGCGGCACGTGCATGACTACACCTCCACGTGTGCAGCTCCACTGTGCTCAGACCACTCACAGCCACAGCAAGACCCATGGGATGCTCAGGGCTCATGCTGATGACGTAGGCACCAAAGAGCCTGAGCGTCTGCGACTCAAGAGTGGACATCAGAGCCCCCACTCAGCAAGTCTCAGCCTCTCCGCACCCTCTTGGTGCCACGCTGAACCGGAACCAGTGGCCAGTTAGTAACTGTTTTCCTATCTGAATTGAAAAGCTCCATGCCTTCTAATTAATGTTACGTACTACAAAACCAAATTCTGTTCTACTTGCTGATGATATAATGTGTTCAACGAGGTGTCAGAGCTGAGCTGTGGGTCCTAACCTGCCGCTGGGAACGCACCTGTGTTGGGAGAGAGGGCCTAGGAGGTAAAGTCATTAAACAAGGTCACTAGAGGGACCCGAGTTCAATGTGACTGGTGTCCGTAGAGGGAAAGAGCCATGGCACAGACATGATGACAGGAGGGAGACCGTGTGAGGTCAGGGGAAGACTGGGCCATCAGCCCGGACAGCCCCCAGAACCCAGAGAACGGAGTTCTGCTCTATACCCAGGAGATCTGCACTTCCTGGGCTGGAGCTGACTAATGCACAGGCAGCAGGAATGGAATGATTCCTAATGGGGACCCTGAGCCCTGAGCGCTCAGCCAGGAACGCGGACCTCGTGAAAGACAGAGTGGGTGAGCCCTAGGGGGGACCCTGGACACCGGGTGCCCAGCACAGGGGCCTGGCTCTGTGGGGCCAGGATGCTGCAGGCACAGTGGGCTCTCTAGGTGGACCAGCCCCTGGAAAAGAACTGCATTTCTCTGTGAAGGGACTGTTATCCCGTCTGCACGGGGCCGGGCTGCAGTGAGGGCAGGCAGGTCACCTGGATCAGGGCRCCACTGTCCTCACTGAGCCTGTCATCATGCTTGAACTCCACCGTCACCGCCTTGTCACAGTCCAGGGCAGCCATCTCCACGTCCGTGGTGTTGTTCATGAAGACCCCACCAAAGAAGTCTGTGGCTCTGAAACCTGAAGCACAAGGAGGGGTTCTGCCGACGGCTCCGCTGTCAACGCCACCAGAGAGCGGAGCACGCGGAGGAGACCTACCTGTGCTGGTCCGCACCCGCATGATGGCGTCAAAGCCTATTTTCTTCTCCACGTCACTCCTGAGGTCATTCAGGAACTGCTGGCTATCCAAGTGCATCTGAGAAAAGAAGCACAGTGTCGTGTGGCAGATGGCAGCGAAATACTTGATGACTCTTGTTTTTAACACATAATTAAAATAGTTCTCATTTTCATCCTGATTTAGCATATTTATATGCTAAATCATAAGCATAGCTTATGTTTCTTTGGTTAAAGAAAATATAGGACCTTTGGACAGAGATTCTGAAGTTTTCAAAAGAAACTCCTATCATTTCTTTCATTTTCATAATGGTTAGATGGGGAAATTGTTACTAATTTCAGGGGGTTTGTGTTAGAGGCAAGACTAGGACCACTGTGCCGCCCATTCAATGAGGCTGGGGAAGGCGTGCAGCTGGGCTGCTCCCCCTCCACCTTAGACCAGGAGGGTCCTCCACGGAGCCCGTGGGCCGTCTCTCCTGGTGCTGCTCCCCCTCCACGTTAGGCCAGGAGGGTCCTCCACGGAGCCCGTGGGCCGTCTCCCCGGGTGCTGCTCCCCCTCCACGTTAGACCAGGAGGGTCCTCCAGGGAGCCCGTGGGCCGTCTCCCCGGGTGCTGCCTCCCCTCCACGTTAGACCAGGAGGGTCCTCCACGGAGCCCGTGGGCCATCTCCCCTGGTGCTGCTCCCCCTCCACGTTAGACCAGGAGGGTCCTCCAGGGAGCCCGTGGGCCATCTCCCCTGGTTTGGGCACTCTGCTGTCGCCATGGCAGAGGAGGTTCAGGGGCCACAGCTGAGCAGCCCTGGCTCAGCTCCTCGTCCTGTGGCAGGCTCAGGCCTCTGCTTCAACATGGTGACTCTCCCTGACACAGGAGTGCAGAGGAGACGCCTGGCCCGTCCCTGGGTGTGCGCACTTCAGACTCAGAAGCCAGCTGCCTGCAGCCTGGGGCCTTGCAGGGCTAGTGCTCTGATCACCGCAGACCTGTCTCCACTCGGATGTGGGGGAGAGCAGTGTAATACACTGACCCTCCATTTCAACAATCTGAAACAAATACTTATTTTTAAACAGTACCTTAAACCCAGATTATTTTCTCCATTGTGACAGCATAGGTGGAGGTTTAACTCTGAGACTAAAGGAGCTCCACCTTTGGCAAATACCAGGCAACACCAAAGGACTCATCCGCTGTGCCTCTGTGTGTGCATTTATCTCTGTCTGGTTCAGGGCTGGGCATGGCTCCCCTACACGCTGCGTTAAGTGGGAGACAGACATCAATGGCGTCACCTACCTGGAAATTGCTGTACTTGTAAAGAGTTCCCCCGGTGAGCAGAGGAACAAGGCCCAGGGAGGCCACATCCACATACTGACTGGGGAAGAGGAAGAGGGTCACAGAGCAGCCATGGGCCACACAGTCTTTGGCCAGAGACTCATAGACACTGGTTTGGGGCTGGAAAAGAATCTGAAGAAAAGTGGGCAAGAATGGAAAAAGAAAAGTCACAAAGTATTTCAGGCACAAAATCTAAGTTTCTGTTGAATTATTATTGAAATTTTAATGGAAAATGTGTTTTCCAGCTAAGTGAGCTGAAGAAATACTTGTCTGCCTTCTTGTCAAAACCCCAGTGGTGCCGACCCTGTGGTCCCGACCCGGGCCCCACCACTGCAGGTCTGAGCCAAGGCTGTCTGGAGTGCCCGGCAGCTCTGCCTCAGGCCCGGCCTGGGCCTCGGGGTCCCACGGCATGTGTCTGTTCTCCGTGGACTCTGTGTTCAGCATCCCCCTGGTTCTTGGCCTCTTACACAGATTATCCACAGAATATGTTTGGGCTCTTATTGATGTTTTTCTAGTAATACAAAAATTCTCAGATTTCTCAACTCAAATCATTCCTGCACTGTGCCATGCAGGCTTTGACTCCAGAGCCTGTCCCTCCTGACAGCAGGGCAGGCGGGCTCTGCCCCCACGGCCGGCCTGTACCTTCTCCTTGTCTGTGTTGAGCAGTCTCTTGTCGTCTCTGTTTTTGAGCTTCCCTGGCGCCTCAGCAGTTGGCAAGGAGGAATGGAAGATGAACAGCTTGCCAGGACACTCTGCCGCCTAGAACAGAGACAGGGGAATCTCAGAAAATGCTTGAGCCCACGTGGAGGCTTTATTTTAAGGGAATAGAAGTATGTCAAAATGTCCAGGCTGGTTCTGCGAGGTGAGCCCTACAGCCATCTGATCTGTGTTCTCGGGCAGGTGCGCTCCCTCCGTGTCACAGGCTGAGAGACTGAGGCTCAGCGAGGCCAGGCCTCCCACGGAGGTTTCAGATGGGCCAGGGCCAAGCGCGAGTCCGTGTAGCAGGAAGACACGAGGCACAGTAGCAGCACCTTGTCCAGCCCACAGTTTAGCCTCCAGGCCGTGAGTCCCACTGAGCAGGAGGACGGCAGAGCTGCTCACAGCAGCCTCCACAGCAGGGTGAATCCGGGTCCTTCAGGAATAGGCTGAGGGGTGTGGCTGGGGTACAGGGACAGAGCAGGCCAAGGCAGAGGCCCTGCGGAGGGGACYGACCCATCATCCCCAGAGCCCTGGAGGGAAGGACGAGGACCCTGCTGCTGTCAGTGTCGTGCTGCACTTTGTCTTACAGGTCAACCTAAACTCAACTTTAATAACAGAACTTCAGAACTAACTGGGAAGCTGCCGCCGGGGTCGGACTTGTGCAGGCCTTAGTGGCTTCACCTCCACCCACCGCCTGGGTTTTACTCCAATACTGTGACAACCACCAGAATCACTTGGGTTCCACTGGCCATACCTTCAGCCTCAGCCAGGCCCAAGTGTCACTGCTGTCCCTATCCCTGGGCCCTGAGGACTGCCCTGCATGCCTGAAACCCCACAGGAAGGGGGTTTCTCTCCTCGTAGCTGGTGACGCTCTTGCTAAACTGACTTTAAAGTAGGTCTCATGCAGCCAAGAGCAGGTGCTGAGCTGGAGCCTCCAGACCAGGGCTCAGACCTGGGGGAGCTGCGTGAGCACTGGGCAGCTGGCTGGGCAGGGCGGCCTCYAGAGCCCAGGGCCTGTCTTTAGCTGCAGTTGCAAGCATGCAGAGTGGCTGGTCTCACCTTCAGAGCCTCCATGCCCGCCTGGACCACAGGAGCGAAGACGGCCTCATTCTCATTGGAGTCTTCAAACATCCCTGGAATCTGGTCCAGCAAGCTACAGGGCAGGAGAAAGTAGAGGTACTGAATGGCCCACGTGCCTGTCCAGGCCCTGAGAGCTCAATCACTGGCAGCAGAGGCCCAGATGCATGGTGACGGCCTCTGGGAAGGTCCACAGACCCTTCCTCAGGGCAGGGCCTCCCAGCACAGTCAGAACCAGGCATGGGGCCTGGACCAGACACCAACTACGTCAGCTCTGTATGTGCTCCTATTCACCACACTCTTGATCTCTGAGACTGTGAGTTTCTGAAACAGTATTACCTCTCCCCAGCTCTTCTTAGTTTTCTTTCTTTCTTTTCTTTTTAGTATTTTTTAAGTTGTCAATGGATCTCTTTTTATTTATTTATATACTGTGCTGAGGATGATTGAACCTGGGGCCTCACACGTGCCAGTCAAGTGCTCTGCCTCCGAGCCACGCCCAGCTCTTCTTACTTTCTATTCTGAATCAGGGCCTCACTAAATCGCCCAGGCTGGCCTGGCGTTTTGCTCCTCTGCCTCCGCCTCTGGGCAGCTGGGTGACAGGCGTGCCCACACCTGCCTCTATCTTCAATACTATCACCATGGACACTCTTCCCCACGCAGAAGGTACCTCCCATGCACCCCCAGAAAAAAGGAATGATTCAGAGGATTAACATGAGTATGATCCACATTAAAGATTCTGGTCCTTTCAGATTCTGGTTCACATTAAAAAGCAATAGGCAGAACACGATGACAGAAGTGTGTAATCCATGTCTTCAAATCCCTCTAGTGATCGCAAAACAACACAAAATCGGACAGAATCAAGATGCAGTGCACCCGAACAGGTCTTGGCTGTCCTGAAATGATAGGACACAGGACATTTACTTGTGAATCACCGACTGGGACTCTTGATAGTTGACGAGGAACCCATCCAGCAGAGGAACAAAGACCTCTCCAATGTCCGTCACCACCATCATCTGAGGCTGGGCCAAGTTGCTCTTCACGTTGAAGAAGTGAAGAACTGTGTGGTAGGTGATAAACCCCACGCGGACCGCAGACGACTCTTCATGCTCTTCCCTATGAGCAAAAAAACTGTCGTGGGCCTTTCATAAAATGGAATGAGAAGTGTTTCAGTTGGACACATAAAGAATACGTGTCTGAATTTGGGTTTCCTGAAGAAAACAAGGCAAAGCCACATCCTGGGGATGAGGGTACTACAAAATCAGGCAGTGATGAGGAATCTCAAAATTGCAAGGGAAAGCAAAGTACATATTATGAGAGCACTTGCTCACATTTCTTTTTTTTTAATATTTAATTTTTTTTTTTTAGTTTTATATTTATATTTATTTTTTAAATAAATATATTAAATTTATATATTTATTTTTTAAATTTTATGTGGTGTTGAGGATCATACCCAGTGTCTCGCGCATGCCAGGTGGGCGCGCTACACTGGAGCCACACCCCAGCCCACATTTCTTTAGTAAGTGTGATTTCAGCCTTCTAACCCTACGAGCAGGCCAGGCTTATCCCATTCTTTATGAGCACAGGGCCAGCACATGCAGCTGGGGACGGGGAGCACCTCCGTTACTCAGGAACACAGCTCCTGTGCTCCACCAGGAAAGGGTCTGCCCTCCTGCAGTCCCAGGGCCTCTGAGAGAGGCTCATTTTGAACCTATGTCCTAAAAACAATGCTTCCAAAGCAATTCCATGGTATATGGACAACGTTACTCTTATTAAGAAAGGGCCCTTTTGTGGTATCATGAAAAGGTAACACAAGCAGGAAAACTGAGATAATGTGGGTTGTCTTAGGAATTTCACAGGCCTTGGTCTTCCTGAGTGTGTGGGTCCTGGAAGGTTCTGGGTCGGTGTGTGGAGGCAGTGCTCAGAACTGGGTGGTTCATGTACATGGAGCACTGTCTCCCCTGCTCCCTCCCGAGACAAGGTTAACCAACCGCAGGGAGAAACACGGGCTGCTGCGTCCCGCCCTGACCCAGGGAAGGCCAGAGTGTCACCTGTTATTCTCTTTGACCCTAGATCCAGTGCAGCTCATTTTGCTTAAGACAATTTTTCCAAAGGACCTGGCTGCTCCAATTCCACATGGCAAAAAGAGTAACAAGAAAAAGGAAGATGGAAGAATTCAGATGAGAATTAGACCAGTTTGAGAATCTGCTTCTGCTTTGACGCCTTGATTTCTTTGATGTTCAGCAGAGGGTAGGCTGACAAGCACTGTTTTCCAACTGTTTCATTTATTATCTCCGTCCTTTGCCAACCGAGGGCACTCTTTATGTTGCCTTAGTAAAGGTTGAAATGCTCACAGATTCTCTCAATCCCTTCCACACACACTCACTACACACTGGCATTCTAGACACTGGCAAAGCTTTCAGAAGTAGGAATCCTCATCTTTTGTGACTATACAGATAGAGATGCTCATATTCATCCCCGTATCCAAGATGTATGACTTCAGGTAATTAGCACTATGCTATACCACACCACGACACCCACCCTTACTACACCATACCAGGTCTACCAAGACATGCCACACCACGTCATGCTAAGCCATACTACACGATGCCAGGTCATACCAGGCCAGGCCAGGCCATCCCAAGCTATACTATAGCAATAGCATGCCATACCATACCAAGCCGTGCCACATCATGCCATACCACTCCAAGCCATACTACACCACACCAGGTCATTCCCAGCCATGCCACACCACACTAGACCGTGCCAGTCCATGTCTTGCCATGCCCAAGCCATACTACACCACACCAGGTCATGCCCAGCCATGCCACACCATACTAGACCGTGCCAGTCCATGTCTTGCCATGCCCAAGCCATACTACACCACACCAGGTCATGCCCAGCCATGCCACACCATACTAGACCATGCCAACCCATGTCTTGCCATGCCCAAGCCACACTACACCACACCAGGTCATGCCCAGCCATGCCACACCATACTAGACCGTGCCAACCCATGTCTTGCCATGCCCAAGCCACACTACA